CGCCGCAGGTGTTCTTAAAATTCATCTTTTATCGTACCTTTTTCAGAGTTGCCATTGCATGATTTTGAGGTCTTCTTTATTGAGATAAAAGGTAATGTGCGTGCCCATCTTAGGAACGCTCGATTAATCCATTACAGAGGTACACAAACGGGATCGGTCATATCTATACCATGCTATTTTAAAATATAATTGTTTACCACTTATGTGTAATTTCAAAAATTATCTTTTAAAATACAGTTCATTATTTTACAACACCCGATGAACACAATTTTAAAACTTTGTAGAAAACTACAAAAAAAATTCAACAAATTTTCACCCAAATTAAAACTTTTTTCTCAAAAGTGTCAGATTTGTTTAAGTATAGAGTTTCATAGCCCATTTAGTTTTAGTCCAATAATAGGCATGTTTTATTCAACCATCACAAGCAAATAGCTAAATCTTGGTCAAATAAAACGAAATTAGCTTATTTCCTATGTTAGCCTAATTTTGACAGTTGTTTGACTGCAAATAGTGTCAATGTGAGTTTTTGCCTCTTTCTGATTGGCTGAAGAAGAAAATATCTGATGCTGAATGGCAATGCCTCTTGTTCAATATACAAGCCAAGATAGCTTTTCATAAGCCAATATAATTATGTTTGGTAAGTCCTCCGTACAAAATAAACTAATAGCTTAAATTTCTGGACAAATAAAACACGGCTAATATGTCCGTTGCAAGTGGCTAAAAATTGCCGTTCATTTTTTATACCTTTCATGAGCATGAAATGGTATTATAACTTTGGTCCGATGTTTGTAAGTACCAGAATAAGAAGAGATAGACCCATTAAAATGTATACTTAAATGATCAGAACGTCGAGCTGAGTCGATTTAGCCATGCCCGTCTGTCCGTCTGTCTGTCTGTCTGTCTGTCTGTCTGTCTGTCTGTCTGTCTGTCTGTCTGTCTGTCTGTCCGTCTGTTTGTATGCAATCTAGTCTCTCAGTTTTCGAGATATCCGGATCAAATTTGGTAGGTGGGTGTATTTTTATAATGTATTAATCATTTGTCGGAACCGGAAGAATCGGACCACTATAACATATAGCTCCCGAACAACTGATTGTTCAGATATGAGACTTTTCGTTATAACTCCTCCATTTATGCAGCTAAGAACATGAAATTTTGCAATACTTCCACCCATTATCAACAGAAAACTTAGAGTGAAAATTACAAAGATCGGGTCACTGTAACCTATAGCTCCCATACTACTGATTGTTCAGATATGATATTTATCGTTATATCTCCTCCATTTAAGTAGCTAGTAACATGAAATTTTGCACTGTTGTCCCTCATTATCAAAAGAATACTTTCAGTGAAAATGGCGAAGAACGGGTTGCTATAACCTATAGCCTCCATACAACTGATTATTCAGTTATGAGATTTTTTGCCATAGCTCCACCATTTATGCAGCTATGAACATGAAATTTCGCACCGTTCTACTCATTACTAACAGAATACTTACAGTGAAAATTACAAAGATCGGGTGACTATAACATATATCTCCCATACAACTGATTGTTCAGATATGAGAATTTTCGTTATAACTCCTCCATTTATGCAGCTGGGAATATGAAATTTCGCACTATTCCCACCCATCATCAAAAGAATACAGTGAAAATGGTGAAGATTTGGTCGCTATAACCTATAGCTCCCATACAACTGATTGTTCAGATATGAGATTTTTTGTTATAAATTATCCATTTATGCAGCTATAAACATTAATTTCGCACTATTTTCACTCATTATCAATAGAAAGTTTACAGTAAAATGAACAAAGATCCGGTCGCTATAACCTATTTATTGCCTCCATACCACAGATTGTTCAGATACCAGTTTTTCGATATATCTCCTTTATGTTGGAAGCTAAACCCCTTTAAATTGTGTTACCGGTTTACATACCGATCACACAGCAGTGAAAATCACTTAGATTGCTGCTATATAAGGTATATCTTTCATACCTTTGATTGTTTAGATATAATTTTTTATATATGTATCTCCTCTATTTAAGTATGTATGCCGTGAATATATACATTTTTTCAAATGCAGTAATCTGTTAAAGTAATACTTTCAGATGTTCATGAAAGGTATGAAGCCTTCGGCATAGCCGTTCGGTTTGTCGTATTGGCTTCCATATAACGAATAAACGCAATTTATTTGTGTATGGAAGAAAATTGCAACACGTTCGGCAAAATTAAATTTTAGTAGGATGACTAAAAAAAAATACTAAATTGGAAACCTCTTGGGTGTAATGTAATTGGTAAAGTTTGTTGAAGTTTCATAACTTTTGTACAAAGTTTGAAATATGGATTTACGTATTTGACGCCGCACGAAGAAATACACTTCAGCGTATTTTGGGAAAGAAAAGGTAGCAACTCAAAATTTACAAATATGGATGAAAAATAAAAAAATCGTAATTTTGGATGCTAAGGTGTGTTTCTTCGGGCAGCGTCACATACATACATATATAGTTGCGTAAATCTTATTCAGACACTTACGAAGGCGTTTGTTTTATTCAATAACGTTATTATATGGTGCTGGTTATATTTATATATGTATAATATGTTAAACTGTTAAAAAAATTGTAAACATTAAATAAACGAAAGAAAAATAGGCAAAGCTGGTAAAAATATTACTTAACTTAATCAGCTGACCACAAGGGTATGTATCGATTTTATATTAAGTGGCTAGTACCATGTCCGTTTTCGAAAATTTTACAAAAATACTGAGCTAATACTAAATTGCATTTACATATATACATAGATATCGTCGTTTAAAGTACAGCGTGGCAACGAATAACTGTTACACAGGTTTTTTGAGAAATAAAAGGGTTCTTTATAGATTTCACGAAAAAAGTATTTTATCGTTAATTTTCCAAAGATTTTACTTTAGTCGTATTACTTAGTTTTGAAATTTTAGTCCTTATTTACATTTTCCACCAGTGTAAACTTTGAGGGAAAAGTTCATTTGGCACGCAGGTCTTCGTCAGTTAATTTAATCCATATCTTCTGTAACCATAGGCTAATTTTCTTCATTTTGAGTCCCTTTTACTCCCCCTTTTGTCCAACATAAAGCCTCATATTCAAAAATCTAATAGACTAGGAACTAGTGACTAGGAAGGCCATTCATTCGACCAACCTTATACAGCTTTTTATTTTTTTAGCCTAAGAAAAAATACATCTGAAAATGACTTGCGTGCCAAATGAACTTTTCTCTCAAAGTTTAAACTGCTGGCAAATGTAAATAAAGATTCAAATTTTAAAACTAATTAATGCAACTGAAGTGAAATCTGTGGAAAATTAACAGTAAAATACTTTTTTCGCAAAATCTATAAAGGACCCTTTTATTTCTCAAAAAAAAAAATCGGGGTAACAGTTATTCGTCGCCACGCTGTACAAAGCCGCGTATCAACAAGATGGAAACCCGTGTATCGAGATAATGCAAAACCGCGTATGTGAGATTGCTAAAAATTATTTTCTTGAGAGTAAAAGCAATCATATTTGAAAATGGTACTCTTTTTTGTAATTAAAAAGAGTCACTGAACTCCACTAATACATTTTATTTTAAAAAGTACGTACGTACACACAAACTTATAATTTACGGCCTCAAGAAACTCTTGTTATATTTTTTCTAATAGCCGCCTTCGGTTCGTCAAACAGCTTCCGACGTGAATATAAAAGTAACTACGAATCTACATATACATATTTACATACGTACATACTAACAGCGAACATAAGCAAAACTGTGCGGAAATTCAATGCGAGCAAAGAAAATAGGGCAGCTCACGTTGAGTAGCATTTTTGGTATATACACTTCGATAATATTAATTGGTATTTTTCGAAGAGCAACATTGCTTTATGACACTTATTAAGAAGGTGATACCTTATTTTCCTTTGCTCGCCTCTTTTCTCCAAAATTTATTTTTGCTTTCACAAATCAAATTTCTAGTTAAGCGAACCGAGCCCCGACTTCAACCGAGTAATGAATTGACGAATCGAAATTAAGGCAACTCTAACTTCCAAAGAATATATTAATTGGCAAATGCAAAATGTGAGCTAATATGAACATACTTTCGTAAAATGAAAAAATATCACATTACTCACCATTTCTTTCTATATATTAAAATTGTACTTGCGATTCGGCGCAACAGCATAAAA